AAAAAAAAAAAAAAAAAAAAAAAGCAGAAGAAGAAGAAGAAAGAAAGAAAAAAAAAAGGTGCCCTCTGGGTTGTGGCATCTCCTCCCCCAAATTAAGTCTCCTTATCTCAGAATCATCTGCTCTCTCTCAACAGATTCAGAGTGCTCCTTTCCATTTCAGCCCACTGGACTTTCTTTTGTGTTTCATCTTCCTGTTTAATGTGCATCTCACTTTTCCATCTTGTCTCTGTCTGCAATTCTCTTTTCCTGGCCTGGTTTCAGGGATGATGATGAGGAGGAGGAGGAACACGAACAGCCAGTCACAGAGCCCAATTCAGAGGAAGAGAGAGAGGACGATGCCCCATGTCAGGGCAAGGACAGGTACTGAGGGCTGGACCCTCCCAGGCACACGTCAAATGCCTGAGGCTCCTTCGTAATGGATGGTCTGCTGCCACCACCTTTTCATAATCTCCAACCCTTCCTCACCAGCTTACACTGGCAAGCTTTCACTGACCTTGTGCATAGAGTCACAGAATGACTGGTTTTAAAGAAATAACTGAGCACATTTTCATTTGAGAACTTCACTTTTGGTTCACATTCTGCCTTCTGAACACACTTCATGGAAAAATCACCCAGTTGGTTTTCTACCCACTGTTCTCTCCCTTGCTGAATGCTTTAGCTCAACCAGATTGACAGCTACTAAAAAGGCTCATGTCTATTAAGAAGGCTTTAGGCCTTTCAGCACTGTAGTAAGAAGTCCACACCTTCCCTTCATCCTACTGATTTGCTAATACAATATTATCTAGAAATGTGTGGGTAACTACTGGATTAATGATCCAAGTATGTCTTTTATCCAAGTGGACAGGAATATTTTTCACTCTGTGTATCATAGAAAAATGTCCTAGTATTGACTTTTATACCCAGAACAACTAACATAGATCTGCAGCCCTTTGGGGAGTTTTCCATCAGCTGCTCACTTCAGGAAAGTGCATTCTTTCTATCTTCGGGCACTGCTAACAGACATGGGTGTCTATTAAAAATTTTTGCAGATATTTTTCCAAACTGATTTCTTTATAAAAAATTTAAATCTACATGGGTAATTTCCTTTCTGATATCCAAAAATAATTTTAAACTTGAATGGTTTCTTTCACTTAATTGATCGACATTGCAAGTGGATGTGTTTATTGTTAGTGTTTTATTTTTGTTTCTTTACAAATAAGCAAAATCAAAAGAATTTTGGATAAATTAAAGTCTTTCTCTTGCCAAGTTCAAAGTAAACATGATACTTTTACTGATGCCTCATCTGCCAGGCTACGAAAGTCCTCCTTTGATACTCTGAATTTCTCCCCGTTTCCAAGGGTGATAGCATCCTCTGTGAAATGACAAGCTGATTATTGCCTCCCCCACCCCTCATACCTTTCAAATGTCTGCAAAGAAGATAGCAGGTGTGGAGAGAGGAAAGGAATGAGTGGATGATGGAGTGTGGAGAGCGGAGTAGGAGAAGCTCATGAGGACATAAGGCTTTTCCTAAGTTGTTTATGCTCAGAGAAGCAGGAACGCAGGTTCCTCTTGTTACAATGTCCTGCCTCTCCCCCAGAACAGCTGCTCTACCTCCTTGTTTGCCACTGGGTTTAAAAGACTCACTGAAGGAGGACACAAGGCTTTTGATGATGGGGAGCTTTTTGATGAAGGGAGGCTTTTTGATGAGGGGTTTTTTGACTAAACAGAAATTGCTGGAGGGAGAATGCTGAAGGGGGAAAATGAATTGCTGAAGGGAGGATTGCGGAAGGGAAAAGAATTGCTGAAGGAGAATTGCTAAAGCTGAAGAGAGAACATGAGACAGTGTGAGTCTGCACCGAGAGCTTTATACACAGGCTTTAGAAAAGCTAAGCTGAAGAAAAGCTAAAGAGAACATGGGGTAGTGCAAGTCTGCTAAAGAGGAGCTAAGAGAAAACATGGAACAGAGCGAGTCTAAGGAAAGAGACTTTAAAGAATAGAAAAGAAGATTTTTTTATGCTTTAAAGAAGAAAAGAAGGTTTTTAGAAGCAAGCTTTTAAAGAATTGTAAAGGAGTAAGGCTTTAAAGAAAAGATAGGAAAAGAAGCAGAGTAAAGAGAAAGATTAATAGAGATAAGAAGCAATGAGGCTGTTGTGCATCTCCACCTGAGCGCCAGCACACCTGGCCTCAACTTTCTGTATGTCTGTCTGTCTATTCTGTGTCCTTTACAAACTTATTGTATGTGTGTTTCTGCTTCTGCATCTCCTGTCGCCCTCAGTTAGGCCCAGTTAGGTTCAGTAGTAACAAGGGAGTGAGAGAAAGTCACTCCAATGGAGAATTAGGCACACATTTAAGAATGAGAGGAAAAGAAGGGTCAGCACAAAAAAGAGCCCTTTGCCCCTGCTTAGGTTGAAAATAAGCCATGGGAAATTATGCTGACTTAATAAATACACTGGTGTGGCTCCGTGTGTGCTGCAATGTTTGTGTTCTGTCCCAAAACATAACCCTTAAATCCTCAGTGTTCACATGGTTTGGCACCTAAGACCAAATCGAAGAATCTTCTAGAAAGGGGAGCCTTCCAAGGTAGCCACATTGACTGTACTGTCTGTACTGAGGATTGTTATTCACGCAAGCAAGGGTGCTCATCCAGGCCTTGAGGAGGCTTTGATTACATGTGCCAATGATGCTGGAGGGCACCCTTCATTAGAGACTAGCCAGGCCTTTCAGTTTTAGGAAATAAAGGTGTACATATTAAATGCCGTAGCCTAATCTTGACGGCACCTAGGTTTTAATTAATCATGATCTGGAAGTTGTTTGTTCTCTAGTGTAAACCTGTGAAACCCAAAAGTGGTGGGAAAGATTTGTGCTGCTTCTGTGTGGTTGGCACCTCACTGTTCCCTCTTCCTCCTGGCTTTTGCTTCATGTGTTCCATCTGTGCCCCACACTCAGTGACTGCTCTGCCCCAGGCCTGTATAATACTCCTATCACCAGGGAAACCAGTGTGTTCCTCACTGTATACAGGTTGAGCTCTGAAGTTAGCCAGGAAAGGAAACAGCTCACATCCCATGCCCACATGGGCATGGCCGGGAATCAAGTTCTCTGGGAGGAATGTGGTTTTCAAAAATGCAGAGCTTAGCATTGTTTCTAAGGTTAGGAAGATGCATGTTAAAATATCCAAATATCCAGTTCCTTGAAGATGGAAATTTTTTCTTTAATTTAAAAAATAATTTAATTGACTAGTGAAAATTGTGTATATTTAAGGTATGTAACATAATGATTTGATACACCAGTATATTATGTAACAATTACCACAATCAAATTAATAAAAATATCTACCACCACACTTTAGGGCAAATGGTTTACAACTAACTGTAACTGTAGGCCTTTCTAAAGGAGCCAAGATGTTGAAAGCATACTGATAGGACCTGGAAAGTATGTGAAATAGATAGAATATGTCTTCTGTATTCTGCCGCCTCCTCTTCGCCTCCTTGCATTCCTTGCTGCCATTTTTCTGCTTTTTCATACCTATACATGCTTTCAAGAAATGCTGAGAACAGGTACTACAAGCATAACTTTTTTGGATATCTCAAGGTTAGGCTTTTTAGCAAGAGGACAGATCCTCTTTTTGACCAGGATGAAGAGATGAAGTTCAAATTGTGGAATTTCAGGTGCCAACACAAGATCGGGGGGCGGGGGGATTGTGAGTGGAGGAAAGGTGGGTGCAAAAAGCCTGCAGGTCACGGTTAAGCTTTCCAAGGCCTTTGCCCAGAGACCAGCCTCAGTCTGGGACATGTTTCCTTGCACTCTGCAAGTCTAACCCCTAAATGGGTGAGCCCAGGGGACCAGGATGACTGGGCAAACTGAAGCTTTTGGTGACTGACTTTGATGTTGCAGCTCAAGAAATACAGCTGGCCTGGAAATCTATGGCCTATTACAGAGTGGGTTTGATACCTGTCTTTCTCTCTCTCCTAAACTTTGTTTCCTTTCTCTTTCCCTTTTCTTCCCTTCCTTCCCTCCCTGTTGGACCAACAGCCAGGCCAGCCAGGCCAGCCAGGCCAGCCCTGTCTCCAAGCAGAGCCCCCCTGAGAAGGATGCTGTTCCAGAAAGTTCCATGCTCCCAGCAACCTCAAGTGCCACCTCACCAGGAAGGAGGCTTGCGACCAGCACAGTGGCGGGGAAACCCCTCCATGGCGGGTCCTCTGAGTCTGACACCACCCGGTCTGCCCTTCTGCCACCCCACAGCCCAGCATTGGCCACTTGGCCCACTTCCACCACACCAAAGGTGTCACCAACCGTAGAAAAGCTGCCCTATGTGCCCCACAGCCCCTTCCACCTCTTCTCCTACGACTTTGAGGACTCTCCCTTACCCAGCAAGGACAAGGAAGCAGAGTCCCAGAAGGAAAACAGGTAGATTGGCTCATGGAGACCTGTATGAGATTAACCTGAAGAGAACAGATCACTCTAACTGCATCCTGGGGCTTATCTTCAGCCATGTTTGCATGGATCCAGTCAGAGCCCAAACTAACTCCCTGACCACTAACTAAGTAGGGACTAGTATTTAGGTGAGATGGGGAAGAAAATTGTCACCTGTCTGAGCTGAAGAGATCTTTTGTTTCAATATGACAACTAATAATGGATGTTTAGACATAAGATTTTTAGAAATATGGTCTGTCTAGATCTGTATGTCTTACACCTAGCATGGAGTCTTTTTTTCAACCCTCAAAGTGCATTGTCCTCTTTGCAGGCAGCATGGCGAGTGTGTTTTTCCTTCCTTCCACCATCCTCCTGACTTGTCCCTCAGAGCACACATGCTGCCTCTGAACCTTACAGCTTCTGGCATTTCTCTCCTAATGGGCGGGTGACTTGTCCTCACTGTCTTTCCCTTTTCTTCAACTTTCTGCTTTGTTTTCTAATACATGCATTTTTTTCTCAAAGCTTATTCACAGATGACACACATTACAGTTTGAACCACCTTGTGGAGTCTTAAAGTAATCACTCTTCTTAACAATGAACATCTAAGTCTTACAATAAGGAGAAATTGTACTGGCGATGGAGTGGAGGGAGGTGTGCAAACCTAAACTCTGCCTGGAACGTCTAACCCGTGCGTGCCTGCCAGCCACATAAACCCCCTTCACTGTTGCCTAGCTTAGCAACTCTTTGCCAGAGTGGAGAAGGGAACAGGGCAATTGTGTATTTTTTTTTCAATACCGGGGGTTGAACTCAGAACCTTCACCTTGAACCACTCCACCAGCCCTATTTTTTGTGAAGTGTTTTTCGAGATAGGGTCTTGTGACCTATTTGCCCAGGCTGGCTTCAAACTCTGATCTCTGCCTCCTAAGTAGCTAGAATTACAGGCATGAGCTACCAGCGCCCAGTGTGATTGGCTATATTTTGAACAATCAGTATTCACAATTGTTAGTGGATCATTCTAATGGCCATCCCATCTTAGAATATTAGCTAATATTTATTGAACATTTATTATGAGCCAGGCCCTGTATTTTCCATGAAATTGGTGCTTCAAAGTATCACTTAAGCCTTAAAAAGTAGGCTCAATTACTGGCCCTTGTTTATAGTGAGAAACTGATGCAGAGGGAGGCCAGTAACTTGGCTAGGTCACTCAGCTAGCAAGTGGAGGCTGGTTCAGTCCCAGGCAGCCTGCCCAGAACAGGTCCTCACCTGTGCATTGTGCTGCTGCCTTTCTTAGTGCCCTCTCCATCCTCCTGGGCTTAACATGCCCCTGCTTCAGCTCTTAGGGAAGATTTTGCCAGAGCTCATGCTTGGGGGACCCTCAGCCTTGGGGCCTGACAAGAAGCTGCCCCTTGTCTCAAATGAAGTCTTAGAAAATCTGAACTTGGAGGGCAGCTCTTTCTCTCTATGAAAATGACCAAGGGAATAAGACCTTCAACCAAACTGAAAGATTGGTCTAGGGTTAATCTGTGTTCATCATCCATTTTTAGTTACATACAGTCAAATAGAATTTTGAAACCTCCCTCAAAGTTTTACGTAGCTGTCTAAAGCTGTTTTTTAATGGTATGTTTGAATAGTTGCAAAGGATGTCATTTGATACATGGGTTGAAATTTATTTTTGCAACATTTACAAAACAGTCCTCAGTCAAATGAAAAGTTGTTTCTGCCTGAAAGAAGTCTGGCTTCATATTTCAATTGTTATCAATTTCCTTACTTTATTTATTTGGCAGTGTTGGAGTTGGAACTCAGGGCCTTCGCCTTCTAGCAACTGCTTTCCCACTTGAGCCACATCGCTAGCTCTTTTAGCTTTAGGTTATTTTTCAGATAGATTTTCCATTTTTCCCCCTCCTCCCACCAGTCTCAGCCCATCATCCTCCTACCTAGGTCTCCCGCGCAGCCGAGAGTACAGGCATGTGACACCACACCCAGCTTGTTTGTTGAGAAGGGGTCTCATTAACTTTTTGCCCAGGCTGGCCTTGAACCAGGATGCTCCTGATTTCCATCTCCCAAGTAGCTGGGATTACAGGCATGTATCACTTTGTCCCACATATTTCAGTTTAAATAAGCAAGCTCACAAGTATCCCTGTGATAGCCATGTTACTCCGAGCTCTGATTCTCAGGTGAGTGAGCAGATTGACAGATATTAGGCACAAACCCTTGCTCTGAGTTTGGCCCTGGATGGCAGAACCACCTTACCCGCCCTCCTCAGTGCTGCTTCAGGAATTCTGTTGGGAGTGTAGCTTTCTCTGACTGTTCCTTTGTTTGACTTTACCAGGCAGCACCCTATGCAGATTCAGCCTGCTTGAGACTGTTTCTCCTTCTTTCTTAAAAAAAAAAAAAAAAGAGGGCCAAGGGGTGGAGGTGTGGCTCAGGTGGTCAAATGTAAGGCCCTGAGTTCAGACACCAGTACTGCAAAAAGAAGAAGGGAGAAAAAAAAAAGAGGAGGAGGAAGAGGGGGAGGAGGTACCTAAGAGTCAGGAAGGAGATGGGGAGACCATTGGAGCAGGTCCGTCATAAGAAAAAGCCACACCAGAGCTCAGAAACCTGAGAATCCACTTTCTGTTGTTTCCATAACGACTTTGTACACCTTATGGAGTGAGGCCTGAGTTTGAACACCTTGAAACTATGGATTTTTCTCCAAATCCCAAATTCTGGGATTGTTGCGATCTTTCACTCCATTTAATGAATAAATCCAACATGACTCTTCAACCTCTGGGGACAGTACCTATGTGCCAGATAGGGCGCCTTGCACTGGAAGAGTAAGACCGTGACAATCTCATCTTTCCTATAACCCATGACAGTTATCCAGGCGTTCTTGTTGTCTCAGCCTTTGATGGGGTTTTCCTGGACTCCAGGTCCCTCCCCCACTTGGTCTCCAAGCTTCCCTACTACTTACTGTCCTGGGAATAGGAATAATGGTAATATAAATTATCAGTTAACTGTGTATGTACTTTGTGAAGCACAGCCATGTGCTTGTGAATGAAGAATGAGTTACATTTTACTGAGGCAAAGTTTCTAATTTGCCTGGCAGAAATTTTAATTCTGTAGAAATACTTTTGGTACCTTCTGAATTTTCTGATGTTCACTTGCTGTGAGTTTCATCAGTATATATGGCATGGATTTGACTACTCAGTGGTTGATTGCAACTGGGTGGGTTATAATAGACACCAAGCCATTAGTCACTAAAACAAACCCTCTCCTACTCACATAAAAATGTTGATCAGTAAATTATATGATCCAGTTAGCTTGGCTGAAATTGAGTAGCAAAACTGGGCAGACTATGAGGCTTTTGAATTAATTGCTTGGCCATTAGAAAAACCAAAGGAGAGAAAAACACATTATGCTTGTCTTATTTCCATCACGTCATTTAAACATAATTTTAGTGAAGCGATCCTGTTAAAACATTCTGCAGGATGTCCGCTTGTGGTCAGAGGAGGTTAGTTTCAGCTGCTGGGGTAGCAGAACAAGCTGAGTGTCCAGGCATCTGGGCAGAGTGGCAGCACCACTGCTGGGCATCCTGGGTGCCTCCTCATGCCTCTCTCATGGCAACACTTGCCACCTTCTTCTCTCCCTCTTCTTTGCTTATTAGCTTTCCTTCCCTACTGTTTTTCCTTTTTTTATGGACCTTTCATCCTTTGCTTTTCTGTCTTCTCTATGACCTGTGGTTTGTGAATCTTCATGAAAGAAATCAAATCAATGCCAACTCAGAGGAGAAATTAATCTGTTGGACATGTAGAGTGTTGGAATTTTAAAGAGAAAATAAATCCTCAGGAACCAAGAACCGTGAAGGTGGGGTATTAACAGAGAAGAACAATGAGACAAAATTTTGTGGTCTGAGTCTTCATCTACCAGACCGAGTGCCTGCTACTGAGCACATGTCAGGCGTGTGATATCAAATAAGAAGTGCAGTGGGATTACACGTCTGTAATCCCAGCACTGGGGTGGGGAGTTGAGGTAGGAGCACTATGAGTTCAAGACCAACCTAGGCTACAGCAAGACCCTTCCTCAAAAACAGCAACAATGAAAAATTGAGCAACAGCCAAGCTGCCAGAGTTGGCAGCACAGGATGGATTTGGGGGAATTTAAACATTTTGCTTTCAATTATTGCAATGTAATTTATTATTAAAAACTGAAATTTCATGTCTACATTCCACTTTTTAAAACATATACCATATTTTTATATTCTTTGTACATACAGATTTTTTATTTTTAAGAACATCTTTACAGTTGTGATCACACTCTGTATATTATATCCTGATATTTTCATTCATCCTATATATATCAACATTCCCATGTTGTCATTTATGAAATTGGTAATTATTTTTATAATGACTTCAGGATAGTCCATTGATAAATATCATGCTTTCTTAGCCATTCCTACCTGGTTGGGTAGTTCCCAGTTTTTCACCATGAACTAAATAATGTTTTAATGAGTATGTTCATAAGTAACATCTTCAGTACATAAATAACATTATTTTGTATGTTAGCATCCCAAAAGTGGACCTAATCTCTCAAAGGATATACACATTGTGAAATCAAATTGCTTCCCAGAAGGTTTGCTACTAATTTCCGTTGAGGGGAATTTGGACTGGATTCTCCATTGGCAAGAAAGTGTTTGTGCACACTAATTTGTTGTCCCTAACTGGTTTATGGGAAGGAATCGGCCCTTCCCTGCACCTATGTGGGTTAAGAGGCAAAGCTTTCTGAATCTCTTATTGGTAACTAATCATGAGGCCTGGCCTTGGATAAAGGCTTCAGATGAAGACTTATCTCCTGGTACTCTTGAGTGATAAAAGCGACATACAAACTGCTGAAAGACATCTATTTGAAAACAGAAAGAGAACTCCAGAATTTTACAAATCCTAAAATGTTTTTTTAGCTAAGCAAATGATGTTTTCTATAGACCTTTGATAGAATCGATGCTAATTGTGACATTGTGAGTGGTAGGAAAACACTGTATGGTTCCAATGAAAATAGTTTCGATTCTTAATTTATGTTAGCAATTGATTTTAAATGTACATTTTAAAAGACAGGAAATGTGAATGTTTTCTTTGAATCCTTAGTCATAAATCCTGCTGCCTAATGGTTTCAGACTGTGGGAAGCTTCTTTCATGACAAATTATTAGGACAGAGGGGTTAATACATCTCTGAAGGTTAGAGTAATCACAGTGCTAGTATTTTCAGAAAACTTTTTCCTGCAAAATTTAAGATGGTTTGCTAAATCTTATTTATATTTACTGACTCATACTCATTTCTGTCTTTTTCTCCCCAATTTAAACCTCTGTACTGTTTAGATACAGCAATTTTGGCAACAACTCTTACCAGTCCTCAAGATCCTCTGGTCCTGGTGTGCCTCCCACGCCCACATCATCTCTCTCACCCCTACAGGAGGCCAGGATGGAAAGGTGAGTTTACAGCATGGAAATGGCTCCTGGACTCAAGTAAGGTACATCAATCTGATTAAGAGAAGTTAAAGGAAAAGTGTAAGTAAAAGGCAGAGTCTGAGTGTTTTCCTTTATAAAATGTCCTCCAAAGACAAGATGCTCTGTCTAATATGCCACTTACTAAGCAAATGTTTTTTAGAAATGACATTTTGTTGTTACTGTGTCATCCTCCTACATACCTCCCATGGAGAGTATAAAATTTTCTTCTAAAATATTAAAATGTGATTATTTTGGTTCACCTCTTAAAAATGGTTCTAGATGTTACCTGAGTTCTGCAATTTGTGTGAGACACATCTATTTTCACCTTTGAATGCCTGGAACTATGTGAAGCAGGAGGTAGTAGACCCATGAGGAGTGTGTAATTAATCCAGGACCTACAAGAAGAGAAAAGAATTGTATGGGTACATGGAAGGAATTTAACTTGGCAAGAGTACTAGACCACCAGAAATCCACTGCTTATTACTCCTAGAAGCCAGTGATTGCACAAGGATGTGTTTACAAGGGAAAGGTAAGACCTGTAATTTTAGAACAATTAAAAACAGTTACCCTTACATGGCAAGAGTGCTTAGTTAGAGAAGACTGCTGAAGGTTCCAACTTAACTCACTGGGAAGTTATTTAATCCCTTAAGGTAAAATGCCAGTTACCAACCCTTACCTTAGAGGGTCATTTTGGTGAGCAAATAAAATGGTCCACATTTGAAGCATTCATTGGGAAGGAGCAGTGTAGAGGATGATGAATCAGGATCAGTAGCCCCTTCATCAGGGATATAGGCATGAGCAACTCACAGAGATCTCTTGCCTCTGTTAAACTGTACTGTGTTCCCATTCAGATCTTCTTTTGTGTGATAGGAAGTGAGTTTTGCTGAGCACTGCTGGTGATGGGAGGTTTGTTTGGGCTGTGGAACAGGAAAATCTTACATCCCCAGGATGAAGTAGTTTGCCACTTCTTCTTCCAAAGGGGTTTGCCTAGCTGCGTGACACCATTAATGTGTGAATCAGTGTTAAATCCTGAGGTTCCACAGTCCAGTCAGTGTGACCTAGATACACTCAGGCATAGTTAGGTCTTGGTAATAAGGAAACCAGTTGGTTGCCTTGAAAATGCCCTTCCCTGTGCTAACTCTGTCCTTTAACCTAGGTTACTTTCCCTTGGTTTTAGATGAGGTTACCTGTAGTTTTGAAGAGCTCACCATAGGGATGACCCTTCTCATACAGGATGCAATGTTTGGACGGTATACTGGAGTCTGACTGATACCACATGACAAGTCTCACACCTGCTAGGCTACCAGTTCTTCTGGGGCTAGAACCAGGCTCATTCGTCCTTGTGACCCCCATGTTACCTGGGGCCTGGGTAGAACTGTATTGAAGGATCCTGTGAATTAGTCACTAACTGGTTGGGATCCGTTTGGAGGTCCATGAAGTTGGGAAGTTGTAAGGGCAGGAGGCCCATGTAGTCTACAGATTTACTGAAGCCCTGACCTTTGCAGATCTTCTTCCTAGGCCTTGAATGGAAATTCCTGGACACTGCCTACTTCCCAAACCGTAGAAACCCAGACCAGGATTGAGCTGCAGGTCCAGGAGCCAGGAGACTAGAGGACTTGTCTGTATCTCCTTCCCTACTTAGATTGGCTGAAGAGTGCCTGCTGGTGGTGGTGATAGTGACAGAATTAAACTAGGGAGAGGGGGCTCAATCCTGCAGAGGAGGCTAGACTATGGGACGTGTTCAGGTGTGGAAGCAGGAGGCGACCAGCTCTAATCTGTCAGCAACAGAGAATGAGCCAGTGGGATGAAGCTGCAGGAACAGAGGCTGTCGGGAAACTTTCAGACTTGACTGGAGAATGGGAGCAGGGGAAGCAGAGTGAGTGAGGGTTCAGGTTTTCATGAATGTGTGGATGACACAGGTGGGGAGAAAATCAAAGTGGGGGTGGAGCTGTTCAGCGTGGGGCATGCATAGTGTGACGAATCTGTGCAACACCCAGGGAGATGTTGTGTAGATTCTGGGGCAGTGTGAGCACAGCAGTCCTTGGCTTAAAGATTAAGTCACTTCAAGAGGCAGGGTCACTGGGAATAGCAATGGTAGGAGCTACTTTTCTAGATGCTTGTTCTCCTTTCCAGAGCATTTTTGTCATGGGAACTTGGTTACCTTTGCCATCTACTACCTACTGGCAAGTAGAGTAGCTTCAAAGAGTGCATTACTTCCTTTATATTGGCATATCTTTTTTTTGTCTGTCACCATGTATGTTGAAAATCAACATGATGAATCATACCAGCTATCACATGTGCAGTTTCATTAATGCCAGGAAACCACCGTACCTCACTGTATCACCACTTCTACTATTGCCTTGCTGGCTTACTTTTTATGACTAAATAAATAAATAAACAAATAAGCTTCTCAACTCCAAGTCTCATTTATATGCCAAGCGTATTACAGCTGCTCCCACGATGATAGGTATTTTTATGCATTTTAATTCTTTTTCATTTTTCACCAATGAGTTCTTCGGATACTATTCATAATATAATTCCACACACATGAGTATTTTTCACCCTATTAAGATGCGTGACCATCTAGCATGGTGATACACGCCTATAACTGCAACTATCCAGGAGGTAGAGACAGGAAAAAGTAAGGCCAGCCTGGGAAAAGTTAGTGAGATTGTCTTGAAAACAAATTACAAACAAAAAAGAACTGGGCATGTGGCCCAAGACATACATACAAGGTGTGGGACTATTTTTACTAAGATACATACTCAGAAGAATTAGTAAGGTTTATTGTTGATATGTTTTATATACCCATTTATCATTAAGTCTGAAAAGAAAAACTCTTAGGAAAAATACTGATATGTTATGAAAAATAGTTGTGTTTTGGCAAGGAGAGCTCACATCTTCTGTCAGCATACATGCCCACAGCTAATAAATACTGTGCCAGAACCCTGGACAATACTAGAATTCTAGAAGTCTATTGCCTTGATTTGGGCACAAGACTCACTTCTTTGAAGTCTTAGGAAAATCAGGGCAACAAAAACACCCTTCAGGCACCTTGGACCACTTTGGAAATGGCAACTGGGCATCATCGTGAGCTTAGAGTTTTCCATTTTTCTCCAAGCGTGTTAGTATGTTGGATGTTAATAAAACTTGGAATGATAAATTGACCTAGAAGAAAAAGGAAGAGCTGAATAAAAAGTATACAAGGTTGAGACAAGGATATTAAAATGAATCCCTCTCCAGTTAGATTGCAGCTTTATTTAAGGGGTTCTCTTTTAGAAACAGAATGTAGCATTAATTTTCACAAAATTGAAACTTGGGTTGTGCCAAAACAAAACAAGAAAACCAGAACTATTTACCAAGACCCTGGAGGACACAAGATGAAACTGTTTAATGAAAGCAGATTAAAAAAAAAAAAAAGCCTCAATTTTGAAAATGTACTCTTTGAGCAGAGAAATTCTAAATGTTTTCTTTTTGAAAGACAACAAAATTACAGGAATATTTGAACCATTCATTTCAAGTATTCAAATGAAACAAATAAACAAGCAAACACTCACCACACCACAAGCAAGTTTGTGTCTTTGGGCCTTGGGGAAGGTGAACGGTCATTCTCTTTCCATCCCTGCAGTGAGGTCTCCATCTCGTGGGCTTTTTCAGAAATGGTAGCTGCAAGTTTGTGGTGAGGCTTTCAGTTAGTGAGGCAGCAGTCAAGCCTGGGCTGATGATGCCTTAAGGCAATCAGTCCCTGTGCTGGGACGAAGGAGCGCACTGAGAACGAAGGGTGGCCTGCTGGACTGCTAATGGTTGGAGGATCCTTGGGTTCAGCTTTTAGGGAAAACTTCCTGTGCACAGGCTGAGACAAAACCTGAAGGACGAGTATGTACCATAAGCATTATTCTGTTCTCTTTCACTTATAATGGTGCCATTGCTTACTATAAACAACTGTCACCTACCTGGCTAAACACTAGGTCTCTGGACATTAATCTGTAAGCCAGGTAGGTACCTGTCATTTATAAGCCCAATAATGGCATCCTCCCCAGGGAGTAATAATGACTAATAAGGGATAAAGAGTTCGACATTTTGTGGTGTATGTGGTCAGAACATTTAACGTGAGATCTACCCTCCTAACAAATTTGTAAGTACATAATACCTACTTAACTCTAGGCACTGTGTTGTGTATAGACCTATTACTCATCTTGTATAATTGTAATTCTATACTCATTCAATAATAATTCCCCATTTTCCTCCTTCCCCTGATGCCCTGGTAACCACCATTTTATTGTCTACTTCTGTATCTTTGACATTTCAGATGCCTTATATAAGAGGAATCATGCAGTATTTGTTCTGTGAATTGCTTATTTCACTTAGCATCCATGTCATCACAAATGGTAGTATTTCCTTTTTAAAGGCTGGGTAATATTCCATTGTGTGTGTATACCACATTTCTTTTTATCCATCTGTTGGACATTTGGGTTGTGCCTGTATCTTGACTCTTGTAATTGATGCTGCAATGAACATGGAGAGTGGGAGTGCAGATTTCTCTCTGTGATCCTGATTTCACACCTGTATATTCCCAGGTGTGGAATTACTGGATTATAAAGAAAGGCGGATGCATCTTCAAATTCTTTTCTTCCAGAAGCAACAAGTCCTAGCAACTTTTTAATGCATTGTTCCAGAGATGTCTTATGCTTCTGGGGGCACATACTTGTTTAATATAATTTCACACAAACAGCAAAACAGTGCACAAACCACTGTGCATCTTGCTTTTCACTTAAAACTTATCTCGGTTCCCTTTCCATGCCAGTACTTGTGGCTGTTGTATTCTTCCTAATGGCTGCTTCATACTTTTTTCTCTGCATGCTACTTTATATCCTAAGTCCCAAGCATGTGGTTGGGCCCCAATCTTTTGCTCTTACGTTTGACACTGCAGGGTTGTTCTTGTACATGTGACATTTTACACACATGTGATTATCTTTAGCATA